CATTCAATCATATTGAATTATTAGGCAGTTGACAAGATTAAATGATGAGGCTGTGAAGGAGGAATGTGTGATATCCTAATGAAGGACTAATCATGATTCACTTATCGCCTGCACTGCTGCTGCTGCCTAAACTCAATGTTCCGTGAGTCCATAGAAAAACATTTTCATCAAGACATAGCTATGCATCTGCAATCAACATCAAACACATGTAGTATATACCAACATTTACATTTACATTTTCGTCATTTAGCAGACGCTCTTATCCAGAGTGACAGAAATGCGTTACAGTCTCAGTGGAGAATACGTTTCGAGAGAAGGACTAAATAATAACAACAGCCTAAACTGAAACCATGGACGTATTAAATTCATGAAGAATCTCAGTTGAGCCATAAAGTGAGTTCTCAAATTTTCAGTAAACATATAGGAAGATAATGTGTAACATTTCTCTCTTAGTTAGTTGAATTTAAGCTATACTCTTTTTCAAATCAACATATTAATTTGTTCGTGGAATTTGTTTTTTGGATTTATACCTACTTTATTCAAAAACAAAAATAGCAAAGTTATAGATATTTCCTAGAAAAAAACTATTATTTTAAGTGTATGTTTGTTAGTAGTCTCATTATCCTCAGCATTTTTGCATTATGTTGGGCTTTTGAGAACTGTATTTCCACAGAGTTTCTAAACCCCGAGGCGCAACATCGCTAGACTTCCGGGAAAGCTTGCGAAACAGACGAAACAGACCAGACGGGGTTTGAGAAGTCAATGAGAGAAGTGAAAAATGATTCCTTAGTTGTTAATTTTCTCGTAATCTAAAGGCACAACCTAGATTCCAGCCAATGTCTTAAGTAGTTGAACATGTTATTACTCAAACCTCGTGAAAGTGACACACTGAAACGTTTATGCCTGTGTGGAAGGAGTGCCTTTGACGGCCTGCACATGCGCAGTTCGGCGCGAGACGTCTTAGATCCGATGACGTATTTTTACGCATTAGTTTTGCTAGCCAATGTCGCCATGACAGCGCCTACTAGCGTGATCAGGGATTCTATTGGAGAAGCAGTTTTAGCCTATCTTCATACTGTACGGTCTTTGGTATTTCTGTCTCTTTCTGTCTTTTTTTAGTGCCTAAATGAATTTGCAAATGGTGGAAGAATTGACTGTTGTGCCAGGGGGAGGAGTCACTCCCTAAGCCTTTTTACCCTGTGGCATATGTCCCCCTTTCCACTTTAACTTTGTTTTAGTGTTGGGTTACACAGGGACATGTATAAGAAAATATGAATATGTAAATGGTGACATATTTTGTTAAGGCATTTGCAATAGGGACTTTTGGATGTAAATGTGAAAATGAACCTGAAATTCTTTTATCTATTTGATATTTTTTCATTGTCTGGCAGAGAATAGGGAGGGAATCAGTTGAGAATGCATTTTCACGCAGGGTTGTGGTTCGATTCCAGTTAAAAAATAAAATGTATGCACTCACTATGTAAGTCGTCTGGATAAGCGTCTTAAATGACTAAAAGTAAATATGTATACAATTTTTCACTTATGATAGCCAGTGGGACAATCACTTAAACAGTTTTTAGTTTTTTTTTGTTTTTTATTTTATTAGTATTATTTTCTTCTTTGTGGGTGGGGTAAAGGTGGGTAGAAGGAGTAATTTATCCTATCCCAGTATTCCCTTAAAGAGCGTGGGGTTTTTCAAGTGTCCTCCGGAAGAATGTGTGAGTGACTCTCCGCTGTCCTGGCGTCATGAGGGAGCTTGTTCCACCATTGGGGTGCCAGAGCAGCGAACAGTTTTGACTGGGCTGAGCGGGAACTGTGCTTCCGCAGAGGTAGGGGGGCCAGCAGGCCAGAGGTGGATGAACGCAATGCCCTCGTTTGGGTGTAGGGACTGATCAGAGCCTGAAGGTACGGAGGTGCAGTTCCCCTCACAGCTCCGTAGGCAAGCACCATGGTCTTGTAGCAGATGCGAGCTTCAACTGGAAGCCAGTGGAGTGTGCGGAGGAGCGGGGTGACGTGAGAGAACTTGGGAAGGTTGAACACCAGACGGGCTGCAGCGTTCTGGATAAGTTGTAGGGGTTTAATGGCATAGGCAGGGAACCCAGCCAACAGCCAGTTGCAGTAATCCAGACGGGAGATGACAAGTGCCTGGATTAGGACCTGTGCCGCGTCCTGTGTAAGGCAGGTTCGTACTCTGCGAATGTTGTAGAGCATGAACCTACAGGATCGGGTCACCGCCTTGATGTTAGCGGAGAACAACAGGGTGTTGTCCAGGGTCACGGCAAGGCTCTTTGCACTCTGGGAGGAGGACACAACGGAGTTGTCAACCGTGATGGCGAGATCATGGAACGGGCAGTCCTTCCCCGGGAGGAAGAGCAGCTCTGTCTTGCCGAGGTTCAGCTTGAGGTGGTGATCCGTCATCCACACTATGTCTGCCAGACATGCAGAGATGCGATTCGCCACCTGGTTATCAGAAGGGGGAAAGGAGAAGATTAATTGTGTGTCATCTGCGTAGCAATGATAGGAGAGGCCATGTGAGGATATGACAGAGCCAAGTGACTTGGTGTATAGCGAGAATAGGAGAGGGCCTAGAACTGAGCCCTGGGGGACACCAGTGGTGAGAGCACATGGTGCGGAGACATATTCTCGCCACGCCACCTGGTAGGAGCGACCTGTCAGGTAGGACGCAATCCAAGAGTGAGCCGCGCCGGAGATGCCCAACTCGGAGAGGGTGGAGAGGAGAATCTGATGGTTCATAGTATCAAAGGCAGCAGATAGGTCTAGAAGGACGAGAGCAGAGGAGAGAGAGTTAGCTTTAGCAGTGCGGAGAGCCTCCGTGACACAGAGAAGAGCAGTCTCAGTTGAATGACCAGTCTTGAAACCTGACTGGTTTGGATCAAGAAGGTCATTCTGAGAGAGATAGCAAGAGAGTTGGCTAAAGAGTTTTGGAGAGAAAAGAAAGAAGGGATACTGGTCTGTAGTTGTTGACATCGGAGGGATCGAGTGTAGGTATTTTGAGAAGGGGTGCAACTCTCGCTCTCTTGAAGACGGAAGGGACATAGCCAGCAGTCAAGGATGAGTTGATGAGCGAGGTGTGGTAAGGGAGAAGGTCTCCGGAAATGGTCTGGAGAAGAGAGGAGGGGATAGGGTCAAGCGGGCAGGTTGTTGGGCGGCCGGCCGTCACAAGTCGCAAGATTTCATCTGGAGAGAGAGTGGAGAAAGAAGTCAAAGCATAGGGTAGGGCAGTGTGAGCAGGACCAGCGGTGTCATTTGACTTAACAAACGAGGATCGGATGTCGTCAACCTTCTTTTCAAAATGGTTGAGGAGGATTCAGCAGGGAGGAGAAGGTGGCAAAGAGCTTCCTAGGGTTAGAGGCAGATGCTTGGAATTTAGAGTGGTAGAAAGTGGCTTTAGCAGCAGAAACAGAGGAAGAAAATGTAGAGAGGAGGGAGTGAAAAGATGCCAGGTCCGCAGGGAGTCTAGTTTTCCTCCATTTCCGCCCGGAGCCCTGTTCTGTGAGCTCGCAATGAGTCGTCAAGCCACGGAGCAGGAGGGGAGGACCGGGCCGGCCGGGAGGATAGGGGACATAGAGAGTCAAAGGATGCAGAAAGGGAGGAGAGGAGGGTTGAGGAGGCAGAATCAGGAGATTGGAGGGAGAAGGATTGAGCAGAGGGAAGAGATGATAGGATGGAAGAGGATAGAGTAGCGGGAGAGAGAGAGCGAAGGTTGCGACGGCACATTACCATCTGAGTAGGGGCAGAGTGAGTAGTGTTGGAGGAGAGCAAGAGAGAAAAGGATACAAAGTAGTGGTCGGAGACTTGGAGGGGAGTTGCAGTGAGATTAGTAGAAGAACAGCATCTAGTAAAGATGAGGTCAAGCGTATTGCCTGCCTTGTGAGTAGGGGGGGACGGTGAGAGGGTGAGGTCAAAAGAGGAGAGGAGTGGAAAGAAGGAGGCAGAGAGAAATGAGTCAAAGGTAGACGTAGGGAGGTTAAAGTCACCCAGAACTGTGAGGGGTGAGCCATCCTCAGGAAAGGAACTTATCAAGGCATCAAGCTCATTGATGAACTCTCCAAGGGAACCTGGAGGGCGATAAATGATAAGGATGTTAAGCTTGAATGGGCTAGTGACTGTGACAGCATGGAATTCAAATGAGGAGATAGACAGATGGGTCAGGGGAGAAAGAGAGAATGTCCACTTGGGAGAGATGAGGATTTCTGTGCCACCACCCCGCTGACCAGATGCTCTCGGGGTATGCGAGAACACATGGTCAGACGAGGAGAGAGCAGTAGGAGTAGCAGTGTTTTCTGTGGTAATCCATGTTTCCGTCAGCGCCAAAAAGTCGAGGGACTGGAGGGTAGCATAGGCTGAGATGAACTCTGCCTTGTTGGCCGCAGAACGGCAGTTCCAGAGGCTGCCGGAGACCTGGAACTCCACGTGGGTCGTGCGTGCAGGGACCACCAGGTTAGAGTGGCAGCAGCCACGCGGTGTGAGGCGTTTGTATAGCCTGTGCGGAGAGGAGAGAACAGGGATAGACAGACACATAGTTGACAGGCTACAGAAAATGGCTACAATAATGCAAAGGAGATCGGAATGAAATGAATTAAACATCTGGGAAAGCGAGAGAGCGGGGCCTCCCTCACTTACGTTTCACTGAAACACTCTCCATAGATACACAGTGTTAGTGTTCAGTCTGTGTATGTATTGATAGTGTCCTGACAGATATGTTCAAACATCACTGTACTAAAACATTTGCATTTCCTATGTGTTTACAGGCATGTTTGTGCAATGCTCCATAATGAAGTTTTATCTTCTTTTGCAGATGTTGTGTTCTTGGTGATTCAGGTTTAAGGATTGTGCTGCACCTACTGTACCATGAGTCACAGCCAGCTGCACTCTAACTGTATGCATTAGATTTTAATAAGGATTTTTTATGAAAAGAGCCAAAGAGAAAAGTTTAATATACTTAAGAGACCAAAGTCTGTTTCTATCAACCAATAGGGGGCACTCTGCATGGTTACCAAGGCCAACATCCTAGTTACAAAGACCAACATCCTGTTTCCAGAGGGGATCCCTCAGTGCATCAGCAGACCCCACCTCTTCAGATGATGTCTACACCAGTTGCCTTTACGGTGATACTCCAGTAATACCTTCATATCCACAGCCACAAAATCAGAACACTGCATTCCTTCTGATTCAGAACTCACACATGGGTGGGGTGGAAGTGAGTATGGTGCATTAAAGCAATATCAAAACTCTGTTGGCGTTAGTTTCATTGTAAGAGCCTGTTCTACCTCTGCCTGTGTTCTCTCAGCCCAGGGCTACCGCTGCACTCTGCAGCAGAGGCCCAGCAGCAACAGAGCTAGGGTGACTCCCAGGAGCAATGCCAGCGAAGCGGGCGGGAGAGTGAGGCCACAGAGCAGTTCTCTGGGTAGAATGAAGAACAGCCTGTTACTGCACCCGGGGGAGAAGGAGGGCACAAAGGTCCGAGCCATGGAGCTGAAGTCAGGTACAGGACTGGTAAACACCCTCGCCTTAGTGAAAAAAATATTGAATATGTTCCAACTGTCACATATTTTCTAACATGCAAATCATATGATATTCTAATAAATTACAGGATGTTGAACTCTTTCTAGCATAGACCTGCCATGCCTCCTCTCCTCTTACCTCCCCACCCATGTAAACATTGTTATCCACTTCAGATCTAGATCTCCTCATTTTTCATCTCCTGTTTCTATTTCGCTTGCTTACACAGTCCCTTAATCCACAAAGCTAACTTGGAAGGCACACTAGCTTTGCGTGTAACAAATCAAACACAAATCAAAAGCCCAATTACTACTGCTTAAGTGGCTAACCTGACCCAGACTGCAGAATCTGCAGCTAATGTGTAATCATCACTGCCATAATAGGCAACTGAGGCTGCTGTTAACCCTCAGTGCTAACCACTTAAAATGCCCTTTGATCAGAGGGCTGTCTTAAGAGTCAACACTGGGGCTACACACACAGGCTTCCATCTACCTCACAAATCCCCACAAACATAACCAAACAATTAACATTTCTGACTTCAGGCAAAACAGCTGTGGTTCAGTTGTGGTTGCCCTAACAAATAATCCACCAATTTTATTACACTCGCATGAAGTTGTCTGTGTGTGTATTAGCTGTGCAGTGGTGTGGGTTTTTGAGCTGCAGCTTTTGTTAATGACCTTTGAATCCTCGTTCGATAATGGTCACACTGTCTTAATGTAACCGGTGTGAAATGGCTAGCTAGTTAGCGGTGCGCGCTAGTAGCATTTCAATCGGTGACGTCACTCGCTCTGAGACCTTTAAGTAGTTGTTTCCCTTACTCTGCAAGGGCCGCGGCTTTTGTGGAGCGACGGATAACGGTGCTTCGAGGGTGACTGTTGTCGATGTGTGCAGAGGGTCCCTGGTTCAAGCCCAGGTAGGGGCGAGGAGAGGGACAGAAGCAACACCGTTACATTAACACTGCTTCAGATATAGTCATGCTCAATCTCTCATACACTGACCATGCTAATTTCAAGATGTTGTATTTGGGACATCAGCCAGAAGTGAATTTCATCAAACATCTGCAGACATAGTTTCATAGAGTAGCTGTTGACACTCCAAAACCACATCCCACACATTCAAACTGATTGACTTTGAAACACATTTCTTGTAAGAATGTCCCAGAGTGCCCTGCAACGCCAAACATGACAACACTCATGGACAGCAGCAGGACACGTGGCGGGGAGAAGGCCTTTCTCAACATCACCCACACTGCATCTTTATCTGCCCTCTTCATCGTAGTATGAGGATAAAGAGCAGGAGACGGAGATAGGGATAGTTGGAGAATAAGCAGGATGTGAGGTATGGTTTCAGTTATGAATGTTACATGGGTGTTATGTCATACATACACAATATACGAAAGGGTCTGACCATCTGCATTGTTATTATGAGTTGTTCCTCAGATAATATATTTCACGTCATAGCTGTGCTTTTGCCCTCCTTACAGAAATAACACAGCCCAGAAATAGATCTCATTAGTGATGTCACTGGGTGGGTGGAGAGACAAAAAAGCTTTTGATAGAAACATGCAGAGAACACCACATGAACAAGTTTGCCCAAAGGCTCTCAGAGGGAATTCATGAGAATGTCTCATATCTCCCATGGAATCTTGTGTAGAAATACGATAGCCACTGATCAAATTATGGCAGAGGAACACATATGGGGCGAAGTTTTGCAGTACATGTGAACGTATTGTGGCCAAAGTCAACATTTGTCATCCATTTACATTCTAATCATCTGTTTACCACAGGCCTACAGTAGAAAACAACAGCCTACAAGACACCACAAAGTTCATCATCAGAATGCTGACCACCTCAAAAGAGTTTACTATGCAGAACCCTACTAACAACACCCCTCTACAACAGGATCATACTGAAACCATCCAAATACAGGAGGCCCCTACATTAAATAAACCCCAGTCTACAGGGGCCCTCAGAGGACATCACCAGGTCCCTACAGAAAACATCAGCTGTATGGATCTCACTGACAACCCAGGATAAGATAATACATTGCAGAACAACTGGCTTCGTGGTCCCAAAGCAGAGAGCACTTGGACATGACATGGAGCAGGAACAGAAATGCATCCCTCTCCAGATAATGCCTGCAGCTGTTCATAAAGAGAGGGCCCCTACGTCTGTTAGGCAGCATGTGGTCAGACTCCCCAAAATAAAAACCACCAAGACCTATTGTATGGGGCCTCTCTGGACCCCCGGAGATTAAGAGTGTGTCTGTTCTGCAGAGCCGTATTGGGAGATACACAACAAATCAGACATGATAACATTCACATCAAATTCCTTGTCAATCCATATCTTGGGTTTGTTGGAATGTCTTACCTGCCAGTGAGACCAAACTGATTCATATCCAAACATAAGAATTAGTCAGCTGAAAGGTTGGACCTTACATACAGAGGAAGCTGTGACTGCGTAAAAACACAATCTCACATAACCTGACCCAAGGGAATGCCAGAGGCAAAGAAGATAGTGTGATCTTACTTCCAATTCAAGAAAAGGCAAATATTTGTGTTGGTCTCTTTTTTGAGTGAAAGAGGGTGTAGGTTCCCTGATGATAAAACATGTAAACATACATGCATATTACATGCTTAGCTCTGGGCTAAACAGAGACCTGGCTCATGTTATCATATGAGATATCGTCAAAGTATGCAAATAGATCACAAACAAAAGAGCATTGTGTCCATGTCATGACTGGGTTCTTAAATTGTCCAGATCCCTTTAGACACAATAGAAATAACATTAAACTAATGGTGCAGCGAATACAGAACTGAAACGAGAGACGTAGGAAAATACAAACAGCAAGTGGATGGGAATTACATTGTATTGTGTTCAGTCTCACTGTTTCTGTGTGCAATGGCCAGCAGCTGAGACATTTCCCATCGTTGTATAAGCAGGGCAGTGGAGAATTCTGGCGAGTCAAATTCCTTAAGCTACAGACTGAGTAATGCCTATCCCCAGAACCCCTTATTTCAGCATTCCTTATCCAAATGTCAAACTGGCACAAATAACATTACTTACTACATTACTTTGGTTGATACCTTACAGTAGAGTAGGCCCTAAGGCCTAGTTATGTCAAAGGATATTCTCTCACTGTGTGGATATATTCTGCCCCCTTGTGGTGGACTATGTACATGCATCCGAGAGAGCATCTTCCACTGGAGCCATTCCATTTCAGTACTAATAATATAATTTCCCTTTTTGTGTGTGCATACAATATAGCTCAATATTTAAAATAATGTATTATTGCTCATCTTTATCAACAGTGTCAAAAAAATGTCAGACCCCTTCTGAAAGTATTCACACCCCTTGACTTTTTCCACATTTGGCTGTGTTACAGCCTGAATTTAAAATGGATTAAACTGAGATTTGTGTCACTGACCTACACAGAATACCCCATAATGTCAAAGTGGAATTATGATTTCCACATTTTTCCAAATTAATTAAAAATGAAAAGCTGAAATGTCTTGTGTTAATAAGTACACAACCCCTTTGTTACGGCAAGCCTAAATAAGTTCAGGAGTAAAGAATTGCTTAACAAGTCACATAATAAGTTGCATGGACTAACTCTGTTCGCCATAATAGTGTTTAACATGATTTTGGAATGACTACCTCATCTCTGTACCCCACACACACAATTATCTGTAAGGTCCCTCAGTCGAGCAGTGAATTTCAAAAACAAATTTAACCACAAAGACCAGGGAGGTTTTCCAATGCATCACAAAGAAGGGCACCTATTGGTAGATGGGAAAACATTTAAAAAATAAAGCAGACATTGAATATCCCTTTGAGCATGGTGACGTTATTAATTACACTTTGGATGGTGTATAAATACACCCAGTCACTACGAAGATACAGGCGTCCTTCCTAACTCAGTTGCCGGAGAGGAAGGACACCGCTCAGGGATTTCACCATGAGGACAATGGTGACATTAAAATAGTTACAGAGTTTAATAGGATAGGAGAAAACTAAGGATGGATCAACAACATTGTAGTTTCTACACAATACTAACCTAATTGACAGAGTGAAAAGACGGAAGCTTGTACAGAATAAAAATATTCCAAAACATGCATTCTGTTTGCAACATGGCACTAAAGTAATACTGCAAAACATGTGTCAAAGCAATTCACTTTTTGTCCTGAATACAAAGTGTTATGTTCGGGGAAAATCCAATGCAACACTATATTGAGTACCACTCTGCATATTTTCAAGCATAGTGGTGGCTGCATCATGTTATGGGTATGCTTGTTATCGTTAAGGACTGGGGAGTTTTTCAGGATGAAATAGAAACGGAATGGAGCTAAGCACAGGCAAATTCCAAAAGGAAAACCTGGTTCGGTCTGCTTTCCACCAGACACTGGTAGATAAATTCACCTTTTAGCAGGACAATAACCTAAAACACAAGGCCATATCTACACTGGAATTGCTTATCAAGAATACAGTGAATGTTCCTGAGTGGCCAAGTTACAGTTTACTTAAATCTGCTTGAAAATCTATGGCAAGACCTGAAAATGGTTGTCTAGCAATGATCAACAACCAATTTGACAGAGATTGAATAATTATTTAAAGAATAATGGGCAAATGTTGCATAATCCAGGTGTGGAAGGCTCTTAGAGACTGCCAAATGTGATTCTAGCATGTATTGACTCAGGGGGTTGAATACTTATCTAATCAAGATACAGTTGAAGTCGAAGTTTACATACACCTTAGCCAAATACATTTAAACTCAGTTTTTCACAATTCCTGACTTTAAACCTAGTAAAACTTCCCTGTCTTAGGTCAGTTAGGATCACCACTTTATTTTAAGAATGTGAAATGTCAGAATAATAGTAGAGAGAGATTTATTTCAGCTTTTATTTCTTTCATCACATTCCCTGTGGGTCAGAAGTTTACATACACTCAATTAGTATTTGGTGGCATTGCCTTTAAATTGTTTAACTTGGGTCAAACGTTTCGGGTAGCCTTCCACAAGCTTCCCACAATAAGTTGGGTGAATTTTGGCGCATTCCTCCTGACAGAGCTGGTGTAACTGAGTCAGGTTTGTAGGTCTCCTTGCTCGCACACGCTTTTTCAGTTCTGCCCACACATTTTCTATAGGATTGAGGTCAGGGCTTTGTGATGGCCAATCCAATACCTTTACTTTGTTGTCCTTAAGCCATTTTGCCACAACTTTGGAAGTATGCTTGGGGTCATTGTTCATTTGGAAGACCCATTTGCGACCAAGCTTTAACTTCCTGACTGATGTCTTGAGATGTTGCTTCAATATATCCACATCATTTTCCTTCCTCATGATGCCATCTATTTTGTGAAGTGCACCAGTCCCTCCTGCAGCAAAGCACCCCCACAGCATGATGCTGCCACCCCCGTGCTTCACGGTTGGGATGGTGTTCTTCGGCTTGCAAGAACCCCCTTTTTCCTCCAAACATAACGATGGTCATTATGGCCAAACAGTTCTATTTTTGTTTCATCAGACCAGAGGAAATTTCTCCAAAAAGTACAATCTTTGTCCCCATGTGCAGTTGCAAACTGTAGTCTGGATTTTTTATGGCGGTTTTGGAGCAGTGGCTTCTTCCTTGCTGAGCGGCTGGATATAGATACATTTGTACAGTGGTTTGCGAAAATATTCACCCACCATGGCATTTTTCCTATTTTGTTGCCTTACAACCTGGAATTAAAATTGATTTGTTGGGGGTTTGTATAATTTGATTTACACAACATGCCTACCACTTTGAAGATGTAAAATATTTTGGGGGGTGAAACAAACAAGAAATAAGACAATAAAACAGAAAACTGCTCCAGCTCCTTCAAGTTGGATGGGTTCCGCTGGTGTTCAGCAATCTTTAAGTCATACCATAGATTCTCAATTGGATTGAGGTCTGGGCTTTGACTAGGCCATTCCAAGACATTTAAATGTTTCCCCTCATTGTCCTGCTGGAAGGTGAACCTCCGTCCCAGTCTCAAATCTCTGGAAGGCTGAAACAGGTTTCCCTCAAGAATTTCCCTGTATTTAGCACCATCCATCATTCCTTCAATTCTGACCAGTTTCCCAGTCCCTGCCAATGAAAAACATCCCCACAGCATGATGCTGCCACCACCATGCTTCACTGTGGGATGGTGTCCTCGGGGTGATGAGAGGTGTTGGGTTTGCACCAGGCATAGCGTTTTCCTTGATGGCTAAAAAGCTCAATTTTAGTCTCATCTGACCAGAGTACCTTCTTCCATATGTTTGGGGAGTCTCCCACATACCTTTGGCGAACACCAAACATGTTTGCTTATTTTTTTCTTTAAGCAATGGCTTTTTTCTGGCCACTCTTCCATAAAGCCCAGCTCTGTGGAGTGTACGGCTTAAAGTGGTCCTATGGACAGATCCTCCAATCTCTGCTGTGGAGCTTTGCAGCTCCTTCGGGGTTATCTTTGGTCTTTTTGTTGCCTCTCTGATTAATGTCTTCCTTGCCTGGTCTGTGAGTTTTGGTGGGCGGCCCTCTCTTGGCAGGTTTGTTGTGGTGCCATATTCTTTCCATTTTTTTATAATGGATTTAGTGGTGCTCCGTGGGATGTTCAACGTTTTATATATTTTTTTATAACCCAACCCTGATCTGTACTTCTCCACAACTTTGTCCCTGACCTGTTTGGAGAGCTCCTTGGTCTTCATGGTGCCACTTGCTTGGTGGTGCCCCTTGCTTAGTGGTGTTTCAGACTCTGGGGCCTTTCAGAACAGGTGTATATATACTGAGATCATGTGACAGATCATATGACACTTAGATTGCACACAGGTGGACTTTATTTAACTAATTATGTGACTTCTGAAGGTAATTGATTGCACCAGATCTTATTTAGGGGCTTCATAGCAAAGGGGGTGAATACATATGCACGCACCACTTGTAGAAATTTTTGAAACAAGTTATTTTTGTTCATTTCACTTCACCAATTTGGATTATTTTGTGTATGTCCATTACATGAAATCCAAATAAAAATCAATTTAAATTACAGGTTGTAATGCAACAAAATAGGAAAAATGCCAAGGGGGATGAATACTTTTGCAAGGCACTGTACCTGTTTCCTCCAGTATCTTCACAAGGTCCTTTGCTGTTGTTCTGGGATTGATTCGCACTTTTCGCACCAAAGTACATTCATCTCTAGGAGACAGAATGCGTCTCCATCCTGAGCGGTATGACAGCTGCGTGGTCCCATGGTGTTTATACTTGCGTA